AGTATACAAGAAGGCACCCTGTTAATCAGATATACTGCCGTGAGAACAACATCACCCCAAAAATGAACCGGAACTGTAGTTGTGATCATCATGCTTCTTGCTGTCTCAACAATGTGTCTGTTCTTCCTCTCTGCAACACCATTCTGCTGTGGACTGTAGGAGAAACTAGCAACTACTCTGATGGACAACACCATACTCCAACAAATACGAGGCAAGATGTCTCTCAAAATATTCCCTAGCATTGTCAGATCTGAACATCTTTATTCTGGTTCCAAACTGTGTTAATACCATCTGGTGGAATTGCCTCACCAAGGATGGTACTTCATTGCGGGATTTCATCAGGTAAATCCAAGAATATCGAGAGAAATCATCCACAAACAGGAGAAAATAGCGATAGCTGCCCATAGAGGGAACATGATAAGGGCCCCACACATCCGAATGAATAACATCAAAAGGAGAAAAACATCTTTTATTACTAGGTTTGAAAGAGTGTCTACAATGCTTTCCAAGTTCACAACCTTCACACTTCAACCTTGACAGACTCACAGACTCAAACAGTTTTGGAAATAAAGAACTTAAAGAAGAAAAAGACAAATGGCCCAGACGATTATGCCAAAGTATAATATGATCCACAGATTTTGACTCACTGTCCTTGCAAACATGATGACTTTGGTGAATTGGAAGAGCATCTAGGAGGTAGATTCCATTCACTTTACGACCACTTCCAATAGTCCTCTTTGAATCCAGATCCTACAAAATACAGCGTCTAGGAGAAAAAATTACTGAGCAGTTCAGGTTCTTAGTCAAACTACTAATAGATAATAAATTGGTGCTCAATCTTGGAACATGGAGGACAGAGGGTAAACAAATGGAATCATTAATCTTGACMGATCCCTTCCCAGCAATAGGAACATGGGATCCATCAGTTGTGGAGACCCTATCTCTGCCAGAACAGAGCTAGTAAGAGGAGAAAATAGTGGAGCAATGGGTCATGTACTCTGAGGCTCCAGAGTCTATAATCCAAGGAGATCTCTCCTTACCTCAAGCAGAAACATAGTTTGCAGTGACATGTGGACTACCTGTGTGGGCAAAGGAGGTAGAGTGGGCTCCACCTATGCTACCTGTACCTTGTTGACCGCTTGCGGCTGAACTAGAATTAGTTGTATCCCTCTGATTCAAGAGTAACCCAAACCTCTCAAGCTCGGCCCTTACTGCAGTAGCTGCAACGGACTCCAAAGCAGCTGTAGTGGGGGGGCCAGCGTGTCACTGGTAACTGCCATGTACGCATTTCCTTTCTTATTCTTCAATCTGGTCGGCACAAGATGTGGGTGAAGCTTCCAACAAGTATCTCTTGTATGCTTAGACTTCTTACAGTAGTCACAAACTAAGTCCCTTTTGTCTTCCTTCTTGTTTTCATTGCCGTTCTGTTTAGATTTCACAACACTTACCATAGCGGACCGATCAGACATGAGATTCTTCATCATTACATCCCTCCTGCACTCCTCTCCTGACACAAATGCATATGCTTGGGAGAGAGTAACACTATACCTGGAAAGAAGATGCTGTCGTGCAATGTCATACTCAGGGTTAAGGCCAACAAGGAATTCGAACACCCTATACTTCTCTAAGTGTCTTTGATAGGTAGCTCTACAGCGGGGGTAGTTCTACAGCGGAAGAAACCCGTGCGGCGTCCCGGCCAAGGTAGGCCAAGACAAGCCTTTGTGTGCTGCAAGGCTAGGAGTTGCCCGATGAGATGGCTCCACCAAGGTCAGTAGCACTGGATCATGACCTCAAGTCGCATGGCCGGGGCACTCGGCTGGCTTAGACCGGTCCATGGGAGGTGCCGCTTACGTGCTAAAGGGGGACGGCCATAATGTGAGGCGACTACGTGCCGAAGAGGTGACTTGGCACCGATGTGAAGGGTCTCCTATATGCCAATGATGATGGGCACCTGTGGGCCATGTTGAGAAGCAACCGCCCTCTCTAGAAGCCTCCAAACCACGTGGGACTTGAATCGCCCCTTATAAAAAACTCCAAGGAACCCTAAAAGAATAGGGCGCCACTACCTAGGTCAAAATTGAAGAGTCCAACAAAAACAAGATTCTTCCCCTTTCTCCAGTTTTTCCTGATTCTAATGAGAAACCCTAGACCAACTACAGGGCATATAGATCCATCAAGAAAATCCAAAAACTGGGCTTACCTGAGAGCTCTGATCAACCTCTTAAAACTCCATGCAGTCGGCCGATCTAGGGCTGCATGAGAGAATCACTTACAGAACCTTCAACCTGCTCTGATACCAAGTAGAAACCACTATCTGCTGATTCGGCCAAGCTTCTTGTGGAAGGAAGAGGTGAAAGTTGTAGATTTCAGCAATAGAAGAGGAAAGGAAAGAAGAGAGAAGAAGGTCAACTAGGATTGTGTATCATAACCCTAGCCGCCAGCCCCTCATTCTA